CGACAAACAGACACTGCCCTGGATGTGCTCATTAACTTGTGCCAGGAAATCTAGAGGACAGCCAGCTGGCCAACTGACTGGAAAAGAGAAATATTTGTTCCCATTCCAAAGAAAGATGACCCAACAGAGTGCAGAGAATATTGAACAATAACATTAATATCACATGCAAGCAAGATTCTGCTGAAGATTATTAAAAAATGATTGGAGCAATATGTCAACAGAGAACTGCCAGATGTGCAGGCTGGATTTAGAAGAGGTCGCGGTACTAGGGATATTATAGCGAAGGTTAGATGGATCTTGGCAGAAAGCAAAGAATACCAGAAGAATGTCTATCTGTGCTTCATTGACCATGCAAAGGCTTTTGACTGTGTGGATCACAACAAGCTGTGGCTGACTCTAAGAAGAATGGGAATCCCAGAACATTTGATTGTGCTAATGCGAAACCTATACTTGGACCAAAAGGCAGTCATCAGAACAGAGCAAGGAGACACTACGTGGTTCAAAATCATGAAGGGGGTCCATCAGGGATGTATTCTCTCTCCAAACCTTTTCAATCTGTACGCAAAACAGACCATCCAAGACGCTGGGCTGTATGAGGAGGAATATGGCATCAGGATTGGTGGAAGAATCATCAACAACCTGCGTTATGCGGATGACACAACCCTTCTTGCTGAAACTGAGGAGGACCTGAAGCACTTGCTACAAAAGGTCAAGGACTGCAGCCTTCAATACAGATTGAAGCTCAACATCAAGAAGACAAAGATTCTCACCACTGGGCCAGTTGGCAGCATCAGTATGGATGGTAAAGAGATTGAGATAGTTAACAGTTTTCGTTTGCTTGGCTCCACAGTCAACACTCTTGGTACAAGCAGCCAGGAAATCAAAAGACAAATTGCATCGGAGAAGTCAGCTGTGAGGGACCTCTCAAGAGTACTGAAGAGCAATGACATCAGGCTGGAGACTAAGGTGTTCTGATCCGTGCTATAGTCTTTGAAATTATGTGCTATGCAATGGAGTATTGGATAGTGACTAGGATCATAGAAATAGAATTGATGCCTTTGAGTTGTGGTGCTGGAGAAGAGTGTTGAATATACCATGGACTACTAGAACAAACAGGTTTGTCCTGGAGAGGGTGAAGCTGGAATGCTTCTTGAAGTCAAGGATTCTGAAGCTTCATCTGACATATTTTTGGCATGTTGCAGGGAGGGACTGGTCCTTGCAGAAGGACATCATGTTTGACAGAGTGGAGGGATGGCACTGGAGAGGAAGACCCTTAATGAGATGGATTGATTCTGTGATTGGGGTGGTGGGAATGAGTGTGTCGGAGACAGCTAGGTTGGTACAGGATAGAGCAAGGTTTAGGGATCTTGTTGCTGAGTCACAAGTGACTCGACAGCACATAATAACAACATGGAACTGTAAGTTGGACAATGACTAAATATGATAGAAGAACAATTGATGCCTTTGAGCTATGGTGTTGAAAAGAGCACTGAATATTCCATTGACTTCCAAAAGAGCAAATGAATATGTCTTAGAAAATGTATAACCAGAGTGCTCCTTAGAGGCAAAAGTGATGATACTTTGGCTTACATACTTTGAGCTTGTTTTTAGGAGAGGCCAATCCTTGGAAATAGACATCATACTGGAAAGGTTGAGAGTCATCAAAAGAGAGGAAGTCTCTTTTGATGAATTCACGGAGTTACTATATCAAGGGGCTCAAGTCAGATGGAGACAATGAGGATGGTATAAGATAGGCAAAGTTATTTTCTGTTATTCTTAGGGTCACTATGAATGGAACTCCACTCAATGACACCTAACAACAGAAACCCTCAGGTGCAGCTCTACTATATCCTATAGGGTCACTGTGAGTAGGAATTGACTTAATGAAGTGGGTTTGGAGATTTTGGATGGTTGCATAGTCCTAAGCATGTTACACAGCTAACAAAAATGCCATGCATTTCTGGTGATTTGAGTCGTTCACCAAAAAAATCCTCCTGTTCAGATTTACAACCTCAGAAACCCAATGGAGGATCACTGTGGTGGGAGGAGTTTGTCTTTTTTTAGCTCCTCCACCTTATGTGTCTTCTACCTAGGCTTTACTTACAGTCTAGTTTACCTGTTGATTTGCTGTATTGGAGAAAATTATCTGCATATTGCTAATTACTTTGTAGCTATAGTTCTAATTAGTATATTTGTCTATCCATTTGCTGTACTGACGTGCCTTGTGGGTACTGTCAGAGCTGTGCCACCAGTGTATCAAGTGTTAGAGGGGTCACCCATGATGGACAGGTTTTAGTAGAGCTCCCAGATTAAGACAAACTAGGAAGCAGGATTCGCCATCACACTTCTGAAATTGTAGGCCTCTGAAAAGCCTATGAAGAATAAAGAAATACAGATAGTTATAGTATTAGAGGTAGAGCCCAGATTTGAAGTCATTCAAAATGAGAACAGTGACTGTAGCAATGGACTCAAGTGTGTTAGAGATTGTGGGAATGACACAGGATAGGATCTGTTGTTCATAGGGTCACTGAGTCATGTTCCACTCAATGGTACCTAACAACCGCAACAGTCTTCTTTTGTCCTGTTGTTGTTTTATTGGTGGTTTTAAGCTTTGCTATACCTTGACAATCTACGTAAGAAGTATGGCTTCTCCCTGGAGAAGCCACACAAGGGAAAGGAATTTTGCTCCCTTGGTGTAGCTGATACTTCCTGAAGAGGCAGTGCAGGCAATGGTGTGTGTGTGTGTGTGTGTGTGTGTGTGGAGAGAGAGAGCGAGAGAGCACGAGAATATCCCCTAACCTCCGCTACCTAGATGCTTAGATTCCAAGGTAGGAGAAGTATTAAGAGAGTGTGATGAATACTACTCTGGGGCCTGCAGTAGAAATCTGGCTTTAACATTGCCACAGTTGTCTAGAGACTCTAGCAGCTGTCTAGGCACCCCCTACTTATATGTTGGCGTATGCGTTGTCTTTATCATTTGTTGATATGAAAGTCAAAACAATGTCTGTTACCCTGAAATACTCCGTCAGCACAGCACAGAGAAGTAAATCACGGCAAGGGAATGAGCAGTTTCCCCAGGAAACCAGGCCACTCCTGACACTGCCGCTGTCCCTAGTAGACATGGCCCAGACTTCCAGGGGGAGCTGTGTGGCAAACCGCAGCTACACAGTGCCTGTGCTGAAGGAACCCTTCCCCTCAATGAGTGGGAGCAATCAAACATGACTTTATAAAGATTTCTGAAGCATCTGAACTCCAGAAGAAAAGCATTTCAGAATTTGTATTTTAACAGTAACTCCCACAATACCAGTCAACATCACAAAGTAGCTCACTTCTCTTTGGTTCCTAGGTGAGAAGGGATGGAAACTTGACTTTGGCCAGATGAAGACTAAACCTTTCCTCACTGGCTCAATTGGATTCACAGTCATCTTACATCACCATATAGATAGATAGGACTTGGGTGTATGTCTGCTTGATTGGTTAGAGTTTTTGTTGCTGATGTGTGTTTTTTCCCCCCTGTAATGTGAGGAGAGACCGGTCCTTGGAGAAGGACATCATGCTTGGGAGGGTGGAGGGACGGTGCAGGAGGGGAAGGCCCTTTATGAGGTGGATTGATTCAGTGACTGGGATAATTGGGATGGGAGTGTCAGAGACAGTGTGATTGGCACAGGACAGAGCAGAGTTTAGGGCTGTTGTACGTAGGGTCACTATGAGTCGCAAGCAACTCGACGGCACATAACAACAATGTTTATGAAAACAGATCACCAGGTGTTGGAGAGCTTGAGTGAGTTATATTGCCTCTCTTCAAGCAATCCACATTTTAGGCAAATAATTTCTAACTCATGATAATTCTTCATAAAATTTCTGAAGCGGAAAGTATTTTAGGCAGAGATTGACCATCTTTCTCCCTTGGTGCATCTGACAGATTCTAATCAATTACCTTATGCCTGTCAGACTGACAAATCTGATATCCACTATGTCACCAGAGTTCTCAAATCACAAAGTAAAAGAATTTTTTTAAAACTGAAGTTCTAAAATGTGCCTTCCCAAAAATGGAAATTACTCAGATTGGATAAGGCAAGCTTTGAGATAAACGTGTTATCTGTTTCTCTGATTCCTACTACAGGAACAAACTTTTTAATTAAAGAATGTATTTCTTCATGTTTCCAAAGTGCATAGTAAATGCCATGATGGCAATATTTTCAACATTTTTTTAATTGAGACAATATTATACAGATTCTCTCATGTTATTATGGAGTAAATTCAAGCTGTATTTTTGAAACAAGGATAGGAATGAAAGTAAATTTAAAATTACAAATGTAACCTCAGAATAAGGTACTTATCATAAACATCAGTTTGAGAAATTTCCCCAAATACACTTTCAAGATGGCATATTTCTTAGAATTTTAGTTGTTGTTGATTGCCATCGATTCAAGAATGACTCAAAAAAAAAAAAAAAAAGAATGACTCATAAAGACCCTATGAACAAAAGACCTGAAGCCTTACTATAACTATCATCATTTCTCAAAATTCATAGAGTTTCCAGAGGTATGTTATTTAGGAAGTGGATGCCACTTCTGCTTCCAAATTAGTTTTCCTAGAGGTTGAGATAAAGCATCATCAAGTACTGAAAAATGTTCTTACTTTTCTCTCTCATTCCCAACGAGTTTGAATAGAGTCACAGCTGGCACTTTGTTGGGTTTCTGAGGCTGGAAATAGTATAGGAAGAAATTGTCCATCTTCCTCTTCCTCCTGTAAAAGCTCTGGTAAATTTGAAGTGCCTGCCTTTAGGTTGGCAGTACAAATCCTTATGGACTTTGCCTGGTCAGGAGCTAGATGCATTAATATTCAAAGCCCAAGGACAAAATTGCTTTTGTGAAACTAATGATTTGCTTGATTAAGACAAATCAATCATATGTTTTTCTTACTAAGCATTAGATGTGTGAACTTCAAGGGGTAAAAAAACCAAACAAATACAAGAGAAGGATGGCTGAGGGTCTCACCTGAGGCTGTAGAGCACTTTTCCATCCGGCTGAACCCGCAGCATGACGTTGTCGGTGGTGGTGTCATGGATGAAGGAGCGCTTGGAGTGGACGAAAAACATGTCTGGGACCCAGATCTTCTTCACCAGCCGCCCGTCAAATGTCATGCTCAGGTTGTTGGTGCTGGGGAAGGACAGCCTCTCATCCTTCCAGTAATGCCTCAGGTAGAGGGTCATTGTGAAATCCTGGGGGAAGAAGGGTAGAGGGAAAGCCTGCTCACAACAGACTCCCTGGGACATCAGCAGATGCTATGCCTTCCCCAGGAAACCCATTGCCCAGCCTGGGCATGAAACAGAACCAAGTGAGCCTAGTCATTAAAAGGAGCTTCTAAACTTTGGGGTTGGCAAAATTAGGAGAAAGGTAACATTGCAGCAATGGAGGAGAACTCAGCAGTGGGTCTGCAGCAGACATGGAAGTCCTGCAATACCTCCACAACAATTGGCCTCTGCGCTGAGGAGATGACTGCTGGCCACACTGAGGACCCTGTGCCCAACGGCTCTCTAGGTCGCACTCAGGACAAACGGGATGTGGAGGGACAGTGCACCCAGAGATGAGTGGTGGTTAAATGTCTGTGCTCCCTGGCCCTTCAGGTGGGACAACCCTAAGGTGTATACCAACTCCCAGAGTGTCCTAGTGTTGTCACATAGACTCGACACTCAGTAGAAGAATGCTGCTAGGTCCTGAGGCACTCTCCTGACCAGCTGTGGTCCTCAGGGACTCAGGGTTGTCATTGATTGCTTTTCAGAAGTTAATCACCAGGCCATTCTTCCTGGTCTGTCTTAGTTTAAGAGCGCCACTGAATCTTGTTCAAAATCATAGCAACACTCAAGATGGGTGGCAGCTGTATGTTGTGCCTGGTTGGAAGTTGAACCCAGCTCTCTCACATGAGGAGTGAGAATTCTACCATGCTGCCACCAATAACTTCAACCAATTTGACAGCCTGAATACTTTGCTTCTTTCTTTTCTGATGTTTTCTGGGATCATCTCTCACATAAACTTCTCGTGCTAGAATGCTTGGCTCAAGTCTGGTCCTTAGAGAACCTAAACTAAGATAAGGTATGAAAATTCCTGTTAAGGATTGGTAGAACATTCCAATTTTTCTCTAAGTCCAGCAAATAGAAAGAAAAGAGACACTTTTTCTTGTCTGCATTTTCACAGCACACAAAGGCCTATATTCAGCTCTGTGGCAGCTGCATCTGTTTACTGTTTACATGTGAGAGCCTTGATGGAGCAGTGTGCCTTGGTGGCAAGCACACTGGAGGAGGGAAAATTGAATTTGTCCCCTGACACTTTCATACTAGCTGGGTGGCTTTTGGTAAGTTTTTTAACTTCCTCAAGCCATCTCTAAGATAAATATGGGTATTTTCACTTCTGAGAGGAGTTGTAACTCTGAGTGAATTCACCTGGCCAAGGACAGGTCCTTCATTGCCATCTGCTCTGGTCAGGGAAATACTTACCATGTCGACTTCTGAGATGCTGTCCAAGCTCTCCACCTGCACATCCACGCCAACAGGAATGGCTGGGCCTGGGGAGGGGGCATGACAACAGCATTTATTCTTTTGACTTAAACTTTTACTCTTGAAGAGAGAAAAGAGTATTTTCTCTGGAAATTGGGTACGTATCAGATTTGAAATTTTGGTGCCCCACCATACCAACCTGAATTCTCTAAATAACCCCAGGAAAAAAAGACATTTTTTTTTCTTATCTGAATCATCAGGTGATTTGAAAATTACAAGATCAATATATAACCTCCTTCTTTGGCTGCATTCTCCTCTAAAAGTAAGATGAAGACATAAGACAAAAGGTGAGCCTGGTGTAAGGAGTCATTGAATGACTCTTTAGCATGAAGTAACTGCTTCATTCTCTGTATTTCTTTCCCAGTCTTGCACTCTCTAGGGAGTTCTGGTCCTGTAGAATGACCTCCTACCTTTCCAAGAATAATATACTTCTCCGAAGACTGGCCATTTCTAATAACATGTCCAAAGTATGTAACACGAAGTTTCACCATTCTTGCTTCCAAGGAGCATTCTTGTCAAATTTCTATGAGATAGACTTGCTTGGTTTTTGGCAGTCCATGGGATATGCAGTACTTTCTCAACACCATAATTCAAAGGCATTGATTTTTCTTTCATCATCCTTATTCATTGTCAGACCTTCAGTTGTATACCAAGCAGATCATGGCTTGGATCAGGTGTACCTTACTGTTTAAACTGGTATCATTGCTCTTTAACATTTTTGAGAGATATCAAACAGCAGATTTTCTCAATGTAATAAATATTTTTATTTTTTGAGTACTGGTACCAAGAGTGTTGATTGTGGATACAGGTAAGATAACTTCATTGATAACTTCAATCTTTTCTCCATCTATCATGATGTTGTCTATTGGTTTGGTGGTGAAGACTTGTGTATTCTTTCTTTTTTTTAACTTGCCAATAAGTTTTTAATTCTCTTAATATAGCAAACTCAAACTTCAGGTTTAGTTGAAACTGTAACTTGGATAGCAGAATGATTTTGTCACATAGGCAATTTTCTGTTTATTTGAGTGAACTGTTCGCAGCTGTCTCAATTTGATAGATATATTTGTTTATCTGGCTGGGCTTGAGGCTTCTTTGCAGTATCTTTAAATCTTTAATGTAAATGTCAATCATCTCCTTTTCCTGTTGTGTGGAGAAGTTCTGCACATTTATATCCACGAAGTTTATTATGTGCTCATTCCTTTCTACACATCATATTCTGAACAAAGACATGGTAGTCCAGATGATTCTTAACCTCCTTGCACACTTTGTGCCACCATTCCTGGTGTGTAACTTCCAAGGCCATAGCGATGTTATTCCTTTGAACATCAAAAAGGTAATGGCATTTCTGAACCAGTGCTTGCTGTGCATTTACAAAATGACTTGCATCTCGGATGTATTTTGTAGAAGTCAGCTTTCTCTCTTCTAGTTGGGCGATTTTTTGCTTATTAAGTTTATCAGCAACTTGTCCAATGTTGTTGTTGTTGATTGCCTTCAAGTTGAGCATGACTCATGACCCTATTAACAAAAGGCCTGAAGCCTTTCTATAACTATCATCATTTATCAAAGTTCATAGAGTTTCTGGAGGCATACTTGTCCAATAGAGGCACCATATTTTTAACTACATGGAAAAAGCAACTCTACTGTTGCTATGGTAAATGAGGTTTCTGGTGTAACCACATATATTTATTTGAAGAGAAAATACAAAATAACCCCAGTTCCAATCATGTGAGAACCCATGACACCAGTTTTAGGATAAAGAAACTGGAAGAATTCTTAAGGGACCAGCCCAAAGTGAGCTTTCCCTCTGTGTTCAGGAAGTAGTGGTACAGGGGGAAGACTTGGCTGTACTTTCTGAAAGATCCCTATGGGTTGCAATACCTCTGGACCTAGGAGGGCTGCATTCCTCAGTAAGGAGGTTGGCAGAAAGTACCATCCAGGACAGCATGATCAGGGACACTCCAGGTGGTGGTCTTAGCGTCCCTGTGACCCCAATAGGAGAACTCGTCAGGGATTGATTTTTATCTTTTTGATGTTGAAATGTAATCATATTGAAAACTGTAATCTGCTGGCATGTTGTTGTTAAGTGCCATCGAGTCATAGGCAATTCAGAGCGACCCTATGAATGAAAGACCTGAACGCTTGTATAGCTCTCATCCTTTCTCCAGGTTCATAGGTTTCTTGAAGCAAGCTATTTCAGAAGTGGATGCCACTCCTGCTTTCAAGCTTGTTTGACTTGGGGAGCTCCACAAAACATTGTCCACCATGGGTAACCATTATCACATTTGACACACCAATGTCACAGTGTTTAGTTTCACAGCAACCATGAGTTATCTCTGTACAGCAAGTGGACAGACCAGGGCTATATGACCTAGAAGAATGTTTCACCAAAAACAACTGAAAACAAGCCTGAGGGCTGTGGATTAATGCAATCCACTTTTGGCTTGGTAGCATCACCTTCTGACCACTAGGCCAACTGATCTCTATCTATGATGTTGTTGTTAAGTGCCATAGAGTCTAGGTGACTCATAGTGACCCTATAAAGAAAGACCTGAATACTTGTATAGCTTTCATCCTTTCTCTAGGTTCATAGGGTTTCCGGAGGCAAGCTATTTCAGATGATGCCACTCCTGCTTCCAAGCTTGTTTGAATAGGGGAGCTCCACCAAACACTGTCCACCATGAGCATAGCAAATCATACTTTGATCCATCAGGTGCTCTAAGGGGGAAAGATGGACAGTCTTGTCTTATTGCAATTCACAGCCTATGAAACCCGATGGAGCACTGTATGAGTCAGAGCCAGCCTGACAGCAATGAGTTTGCGTTTTCAAAGTGTCATTGTGGTGCAGAGGTTAAGTAATCAGCTGCTAGTGAAAGGATGGCAGTTTAAACCCACCGGCTATTCCACAGAAGCAAAAACCAGCCAGTCGGCTTTTGCGAAGTTTACAGTCCTGGGACCCCTAGGAGCAGTTCTACACTGCCCTCTAGAGGTTGGAGGAATTAGCACCCTCTTCATGGCAGTGGATTTTGGTTGGATTGCATTTTTTTTAATCAGGAAAGACAACATCTGTTTAACCATAATTTCTTGGTTTCTTAGGGCTGCTATAAAAAATACCACAAAATATGTGGCTTTAAGAATTGGAACTCTGACGAGCTCTGGTGGCCTAGTGGCAAGAAGCTGCACTGCAACCCCAGAGGTATGTGGTTCTAATCCACCAGATGTTCTGCTGAAGGAGGAGGGACAATCTCCTCCTGTACCAGTCAGATCTGATTTGATGGTACACACACAAAAAAAAATAAGAAAGAAAGAAAGAAAGAAAGAAAGAAAGAAAGAAAGAAAGAAAGAAAGAAAGAAAGAAAGAAAGAAAGAAAGAAAAATAAAATAATCGGAACTCTGTTAGTTCTGGAGGCTGTAGAGGTCTTGCTGTGTCATTTTCTTCTGTGAGATTTTCTCCTAGTCTCTGACTACTGGGTCATCTTAAGTGTTCCTTTGTTACTTAAAAGTGCATCTGACCAGAAGAAATATGTTGATGAGGAGGAACTTGCACAACACATATGGAAGCTAATTTTAAAAAATGGAAGAAAGGATTGAAATTATAGATAAAAAGATATAAGAACTTAAAAAATCACCACAAGATAGAAAGGATACTGCCAACACAGTACAGGAATAACAGAAATGAAACAAAATACAATCCAGAACGTTAAGACTGAAATGGCAGAAGTGTCCAACATGCTTGAAGGACAAAAGTGTAGAACAGATGAGATGGAGCAGAAAGTCAGTGAGCTGGAAGACAAGAATCTCAATGGCAGCATACTAGAAGAAAAATCAGAGTTAAGACATAAAGAAAATGAAGAAAATATTTGAATTTGTGATCAAAAGGAATAACATACATATGACTGGAATTCCAGACTATGAGATAGATAGGGAAATCACTGAGAAAATTGTGGAAGAGGTACTAGAAGAAAACTTCCCAAGTATTGTATGTTAAGTCTGGACAAATGGGGCCAAAGACAAGAATAAAGTGTCCAGAATTCAAATGCTGATGGCCTTTCTGCTGCTAAGAAGAACAGCAAATGGCCTTGCCTGCCTGCCTGAGCTATCAAGTGAATCATAAATCAGAGTAGAATGTCCCTCCCTAATAAGTTCAAAGTGTGACTTCCCCATTCTGCATCCCCAGAATGAGAAACTTCACCTGGGAGCTCCCCTATTCCCCCCTTTAATAAAGCTGCATTAAGCTTTCTATAATTTTCTCTGATTTCTCCCTTAAGTCCACTAACTTAACATATAGTGCCAAAACCCAGAAGATGAGTTAAGTTGCTGCGCCCCACATCTTAAGGCCAGTGCTGATGCACCTTACTCTCTCCCAAACCAGCCTGTGCAATGTCAAGATGCTTGAACAGTAAAGCAAAGTTTTGCTGCTCTCCCTCTCCCCTGCACTGTGTGTGCAGCTGCTGACTAGATCTTTGCCCTTTTTGTCTTTCTGAACTCTGTTTTCTCTCTCCCCTTCTCCTGGAGGCTCCTAAAGCTAGACCAAATTTACTTCCAGGCCTTTAAGCCTCTATTCTTCCATTCCAAAGCTTTTAAGCTTTCCAGTACAGACATTGTGAACTCCTATGAGAACCCAGATCTGTTCCACTGGGCTTCTGTCTGCACATATCCACAAACCTCAGATCTGCGTCAGAAGCCCAACCAGAAATGCCAGGCATTTCTTCCAGCCTATGATGTCTCTGAGTATACTCAAGCTGTCTATAGCCTCTCTCTGCTCCTAAGAGCTCCTGAGACTCCCAGTTTCCAGAGGATGCTCTGAAGTTTCCAGTTGCCTCATCCATAGATCTGAGAACCATGGGTAGCCAATGTTTCATATCTCTCACATTTGAGTCTAGCTGAACACCTCTGCCTCAAGAAACTGATACTTTTTCTGTAACTGAGCAGCCACAATACCAGCTAAGTAACAACTCTCAATGGCCTAAGAATAAAACCTTTAGTTTGGCATCTAGACACTTTCTGCCAG